GGGTATGGAGGGGATTCCCCACCCTGCCTCATGTACAAAACAAAGCACTTCAAGCTAAACTTATATATTGTATGCTCATACATATTCATTAATGTTTCCCATAAATTTCCTGCTATTTCTGATTTTTCTAATTTTACGTCTCTTCTCTTCACGGCATATGCTGCACCTGTTGTTAGGGGGTCTTCAGTCTTCTTTTGGGGGTCTTTTGGATGAAGGCTTACACTCATCCTTGCTGTCCTCTGGATGGCCTCACAGGTTGGTGCGTGTGTACTAAGCGTCGTGTTATGTAAGTCTATTAATTAGTCTTACATTTGTCATGAAAATTAATCCACAAACACCAGAGGTTTATGTCTGAAGAGGAGACAGAGGAGTCCTTTTACTTTATTTGAATAAAGGGAGAGGCCATGGGGCATTCCCCTGGGGTCTCTCCAATTTTTTTGAGGGCGCCGACAACTTTTTATCATAATTCTGGCTGCTTGTCCCTTCTCTCTTTCCCCATAGGCTGAGGTACTTGAGAGGTACAGGCTTCCCGGAATGCCTGATACCTGGGATAAACCACCCCCCCACCACCCCCCACAAATGCATAATCCCTTCTTAATTCTTAACTTTTGTGGAATTCGTGGTGCTTCTTCAGTGCCTCTTTCATCTATCAGTGGAATCCATCCCATTGTTTCTGTTATCTGTCAGTGATAGTTTCATCTTATCAGCAGACTCGCAGCTTGTTTGTAAAGACAAACCCATCATCTCTCTCACATTTAATGAATTTTAGGCCCTATGACTAAAGTCGTTCTAATTTTGTCCATTTCAAGGTCGTTTTTGTCTTGGGACATCACTTACTTTCCACACTACATCCTGTACCTTAATTTTAACATGTAACATCTGTAAAGGGGTACATCTGCTTTGTAACACTGATTCTTGTGATTGCTTTTAATAATAACTTTCCAAATAGTTATAATTTAGTTAGCACAAATCAATTCCATTTATTACACCCAGAAGCGGGAAAGGGTTTGGTGGGGAAACAGCTGGAGCCTTGAAGTGCCCATTTCTCTCCCCTGACTTTAACCAGCTCTGATTAAGAGGACATCATCATCTCATCTCATATGAAAGTGCCAAAGCCATGATAGGTTAGAACAGGTATCAGCCTCTGTGAGATGTATGCTCTGAATGTAAATTGTCCTTGATCCCCTCAAGACCAAGGGAGAGTGAGTCAGGTTTCTCCACAGTTGCCTCTGCTTTCTGCATGCCCAGCCCCTGCAGTCTGTAGTCTGTGTTGCTGGATGTGCAACAGAAGTCAACCCAAGTGAAGGAGTTTATCCTGATTGGATTCCCTGGTTCTCAACACCTGCAAGTATTCCTGTTTGTTTTCTTCCTCTCTGTGTATGTCCTGAGCCTGAGTCATTGGCAATCTCAGCATTATTGTGCTCGTGAGTACTTACCATCAACTCCACTACCCTAGGTACTATTTCCTCTGTAATTTTGTCTTCCAGGAGATCTGGTTCACCTCTGCCTACATCCCAAAGACACTGCCCAATCTTTTGTTACAAAGCCACTCCATTTCCTTCAGAGGTTACCTCCTTCAGATGCACTTTGTCTTCTTGTTTGATTGTACAGAATATTTATTCCTTGCAGTCATGGCATATGCTCACTAATTGGCTGTGTGTTACCCCCTGAGCTACAGCAGCATCATGACCAGCACTCTGTCCAGGGGGCTGACAGCAGGTGGTTTCCTGGTCATATCAGCAGCTATGTCTTTCTGTGCCAGGTTATCTGTGTTTCTAGTGTTGTTAACCATTTCTTCTGTGATATCTCCCCCTGGTTTACCCTTTCCTGCGCAGATATCACACTCATTGAGCTGGTGTGCTTTGTCCTGTTTTCTATTGTCATCCTCGGCCCGTGTCATTACCCTGACCTCCTTTATTTCTATCATCTCCACTGTACTGAAGATTTCATACACTCAAGGCCAGTGATGATCCTCTGCCACTTGCTCTTCCCATCTCATGATAGTAATTATTTGGTACTGCTCCACCATCTTTCACCACATCAAGCCATCTATCAAAGCTTCACTGGGACTGACCAGAACAGTCACCATCTTAAACACAGCTGTAACCCTGAAGCTAAACACCTTCAGCTACACATTCAGAAACAGAGGTGAAGAACATCTTGACAAAGGCTTTACGTAAGTAGCCAAACAACTGTGTCCAAAGGTCTTGTCCAGGACTGTCTTCCCCAGTCTAGCAGAAAAGAAAAGCTTCAGAGACATCTCAGATTCCAAAGACAGACTTCTGTTAGAAGGAGATGGAACTGTTTTCAACTCTTAGCAAAGGTAATTAGCATTAATATAAATATTCATGACACAATCTTCACAAACTTCACTTGCATCAACAAAAAGAATTTCAGACATCAAAGTGAAAATAACCACTGTAACTGTCTAGATGACATGGGCCAGAGCTCCCTGGCTGGCTCAAACATGGGTTTTCTTTTCTCTCCGGGTCAGGGCCAGGAGGGGTCCTAGCCAGAATTTTTGTTTGGCTCTGGACCAGGATTTGAGCTCACCAGCTCACCTTCAGCACAAGTCCTCGAACAAGCAAAGAAATGAGGGGGGACCTTTCTTCTGGGTTCTATTTCACAGCTTTATTTCTGCAAAGGGAAACTCCAGGAGAAAGAGACAAAAGGTTCAGGCTGCTTCTTTTAACGTGATATGTGGATAGAAAAAACTCTGTAACTCGCAGAGTAGTTATGAGAGTAAGTATGAATTTATTCATCACTGAGGTGCATGGGGGATATCTCCTCCAAAGGCATGCACACCTTGGAGACTTGTTTCTCCCTTTTTATTCTCTACAAACTAGGGTTACACAGTATGCCTAATACATATTCATTTGCTAACCCTGCCTGTCCTCGCTTCATATTAAAATTGGTTCTACACCTATTTGCAGCTGTGCACTGCTCCTTGTTGGTCACTCTGGTGGTCTTCTGGGGGTCTTTGGGGCTGAAGTCAGCAATTTTCCTTCAGCTGAAATTTTTACCTTGTCTCTTTGCGCATGCTCCCTTCAGTTCTTTTGACCCCTCCCCCCTTTCCATTTGTAAAAAACGAAGTTCTCTCCTGTAAAATTTTAAAAAGGTTTAATAAAGACAATAAGAGACAGAAAATAAAGCAAAGAATTACGGTCGGGTGCCTTGGCGCGCTGCCAAGAGCACACCTGGTATCTTGGGAACACCCTTTTTATCCCATCCTGCTGTGAGGGTTTCATGCATATTCAAAGCATGTCCCCTGCCTGGTTCCGCCTTCTTAGAACATGCTCTGTATGGTTTTATTTTTGCTGATCATCATTGTTTTTGAGTTTGTTTTCCTTTCTTCTGCAAATGGTCAGTGTTGATAACAGTCTGGGCCCCTCATCCTTCCTCTGAGGCCAGCTGGGCTTCATATCTTTCAGCTGCCTACAGCCTGGTCCTGGCTGCTAATAACAGCTTGGTCTCCTTTTCCTGCTGCTGATAACAGCCTGGTTTCCACTGTCCTTCCACTGAAAACAGCTTGGTCCTCCCATTGTCTTGCCTGTTGGAGTTATCTTGCCTTGTCTGGATGAAACATATCCCTCCCGTTCAGAATTCCTTTCTAAGCCTATAACTTGCTAAGAGAGAGAAGAATATAGCAAAAAGCATATAGCATATAACATTTATCAGAATACTTGCGAAAAGCCAATATTTACAATATGAATTCACAACACATTTCTTTTGGCTTAGAGGTCCAAAAGAATCCAAGGAACCTCCTCATCCTATGGTGCATTTATGCTCGCATCTTGTTTAGGGATTTCAGCTCCTTATCTCATCCTGCAGTCTTTATTCTCTTCCTGCTCTTATGGGAGCAGTCAGCATTTCACACGGGTTTTGTAGCCTCTTCTTTTACTCAAGGCAACTTTTATAATTAATTCCTAATTCTTAATTTCTCTGTTTCAAACGGGGTGCTTTGGAGGGTGGGAGTTTGGAAAGGACCAGTTACTAATCACGGCTGGCCAGCTCCCCAACCTTCTAAAAATCAGGGAAGATAAGAAATAACAGGTTAAGATAAAAAAAAACATACATGGACATTTTCAAATGCCAAGCATTAGTGTTATAAGTATTTATAGTACTATGATTGTAATTGTTAGTCTGTTAGTATGTTCTTGTTTTCCCCTATTAACTGTATTGGTTTTGACCCCAGTTGTCAATTATGTAAACCCCTCCCCTTATTCCCGAACCTTCCCTGCCCGTCACCCTGGCCTGCCCTAATCCCCCTACCCATCATTATAAACCCGACCCTTTCTCCCAGAACCTTCCATGCTCCTCACCCCTACTTCGGTTCGCGATTGGTTCCCTAGTTGCCCTCCCGCCCATGACATGTCCCTATTGGTCACCAGTAATGTAACCGCCTCCCCTCACTCCTCCTCCCCTGATCCCTCATTGGACCCTGAGTTGTACCCTCCCCTGGGGATCAAGCGGTATATAACCTTGTGCACAGCTGTGTTGGGGGCTCTCCTTCCTCGTCGGGTTGTGAGTTGCAGGGAGTCAGGCTAGCCTGTCTCCCTACTCCTGTTGGTATTTTTGCCATCAAATAAAGGTTTGGCTACTTCTTTTAACATCCGGAAGTGTCCAGACCCTTGTTTGTTTTTGACATTAGGGAGTAAAACCGCGGGAGGAGCCGCGGGGCGGAAGAAAAGGCGACAAAGGCACCCGCCCGACCTCTTTTGGATGAGACACAAGGAAACGGAAATAGCCGGTCAGAGGCGGGAGCGACCCCGCGCTGGGATCGGGAGAACAGAGATGAGTGTCCCGCGCCCGCCCCCGGAGCCCGCGCCGCCACAACGAGCCCGTGCTGAGATTGGGGCGGATCACGGCAACCCTGCCACGAGCCGGGCGGTACCGGGGGCTCCGTGTCGGCACCGGAGGAACGCAGAGCGACCACGGCTGCGGGTAATGGCGGCGGCATTTCCCCCCGCCCCCTCGGGCTCCCCGCAGCAGCGGCGCGGGATGGGGAGAGATCGGGGCTGCCCCCAGCACCGGCAGGGAGCGGGGGGCAGGGGGAAAAAAGCCCCGGCGGGGTCCGGCGCGGCAGCGGGGGGATGGGGGAAACGCCCCGGTCCGTCAGCCCCCAGCCAAAGAAAAAAAAAACAAGTTTTTAACTCTGCGAATAAACTAACAAACCTCGCCACATCTAGATGCAGAAAATTTACATACTTCCCACCCCTGGCTCCTCTGCCACAGTCGTAACACAGAAACTGGCCAAGTCCAGCCCTCTGGTCTTCAGGACGTGCGTTTGTTACGCTTCCAGAACATAATAAATGTGTGCCAGCAGCACAGCTGCAAGTATATCTTTGGAAATAAACCAGGCTGTCTTTCCAGAAGCCATTTGTGCTGCCGGATTGGCAGTGAGCTGTAACGACTGAGACACGGACTCAGCCAGAGAATCTGAATCGTTTATTCAAAGAAACGAGCTGGTTTTATACACTTCTTCAAGGCACAGTATTTCCTTGCATGGTAATTTTCATTATGTGACCTATCCCATGTTGCTACGTCAGCAACACGCTTTCTAAATGTCCTTCTATGGGGTGATCACACACTGTTCACCCATCTGTCAGCTTCCAGTAGGCTCCTCTCTGCAGGGCTCTGCCCGGTGGCACCTCCTCCCCCCAAGGTCAGGCAGTGAGGAGCCTCTCTGTGCTGCCATGTGCTTCTTTGCACTGCCACGTGCTTCTGTTGGCACATGCCCAATTGTCCCACAGCCCGCAGCTTAACTCTCTCCCATCTTTTCCCCCTGTGAACCCCTGTTACCACTGGAAGTTCAGGTGGTGCTGGAAAGCTTTCTCCCTTTCCAAGTGGAACAGCTATGCTGTTTCTTTTGCTTCTGCCTCAGGCTGCAAATACAATTGTCTCTTCAGGCTGTGAACCAAAATGATGGAAGCATGTACCACACCTTAGCTTCACCTGTTCTCCTCTGGAAAAACACAGGCTGCAGTTAGTGAAAGGAATAAAGAAAAGTGGAAAAATAAAATAGCAATAATAATAATATAAAGTAGGAATTGTAAATGCCTGTCCTTTGATCTCTCACCCCAAGAAGCTTCCAATTTTTTTAACACTAATCTTATTTCCCTCTTCTTTTCTCCGTCTTCTTTTCTCCATCTTTTTATTTCCTGATGACTTGTATTTTTGCCCCTTGGCCCCACTAGTAAGGCACTGGGAGGAAAGGGACTGAGAGGCCTCCTTTCCCTGCAAGATTTATTTATGCAGCAAGAGCTGTCTTTGGACAGCTTTGTCTTTGGGCTGTTACAAGCCATCCTCAAAGTCAGTAGTAACCAGGTTCTCTTTAATAGAGAATGGGGCAGATTAGAGTGAAATGACACTGAATGATTGGTGTTTGTAAATATACACATGAAGGGTTTATTGTATGTTATAAATGCATATTGTAATGTTGGCTTTTCACAAGTATTAAGATGAATGTTATATGTATAATGTTAGAACGGCTTTGTTGTGTGAATGTAGTTTTTTTCTTTTTCTCCTGCTATAGCAAGAATTTAGGCATAGGTCGATACAACGTTTTAACTGCCTGAGCAGTTAGGATAACCTCCAGTGAAGAGATGACAGGGCCCAGGCTGCCATCAATGGTCACACCCTGTAGAAAGAAGGAGCCAAAGCCCAAATCAAAAGATAAGAAAGGAATTAAAACTGCAAGCCAAGAAATGCACATGCTCTAAAAAGGCAGACCCAAGGAGTGGCCATGCAAAATAGTTCCAGGAAAAGTTTAAATATGCATGAAGTCTATGCAATAGAAATGCTATATAAAAGGTATTCCCAAGACACCAAAAGTGCTCTTGGCAGAGCCATTACTCTTTGCTTTATTATCTGTGTCTCTTATTGTCTTTATTAAACTTTTTAAATTTTACCAAGAGAGTGAACCTTGGTTTTCACATTGTAGAAAAATGTGATTGCACAGGCAAGTAGGTAGGTGGTCATTTTGGTTTTTATCTACAGTATTCTGACAAGAGTAGGAAGAACCCATAGGTCTCAAGAAAGTCTTGGTCTTATCAGATCAGGGATTGGCCATTACACATCCAAAAGCTCTCCTCCATTTCCACAAAGCACCCTGGCATCTCCACAAATGGGAGAATGTTTTGAGTTGTCACCCTTTCACAGTTCAGTCTCTCACAAGGGTCCTCCTGGTATCTGGGGTGCATGATGGCAGAGGAATGTTCAGCTCAATCCTGGACTAATCTGTACTCCTGTCGTGATTTTAAACCAATAACTAAGAAAATTACTTATTTCTTGCTGTGAGATATGGATTAGAACAAGAGCAAAACCGGCATAAAACTTAAAAGGAAAAGAAAAAGAGAGTTTATTGACAAACTACAATAATAAGAACACCAGAATAAACTTCCAGAAAAAAATTTTATCCCCCCTCTACCCACTATTCCCTTGTTCACATGACAACAGAGACAAAAACTTTGGAACTTTGATGGTTAAAACAGTCCCAGTTCTTGCTACAGTCTTTTCACCAGTCTTTATAGAGAAACAGAAGTTTCTTCCTGCTAATTTATGGAGTTTCTCACAAGAAAACTATTTTTGTTATAGTTTTCCATTGCCCTAATGTTAGCTGCCCAGAGCTGCTATTATTAGAGTTCACTCCTCCCATTTTCACATCACTCTGAAGTGTGTATGGGCCATGAGTCTAGAGATAGCATTTTTAAGGATAAGTTATTCAAAGGCAAAAAAGTCTTCTTCATCTGTTTCTGTGAGCTTCACCAGAAAACAGTTTTCTCATTGCCTCTCAAGGCTTCAAATCTCCCAGCACTTCACTATACCATAATTACTCTACTTTTTACTCAAATTTACACTTTGAACACTTTATTCCTCTCTAGATACCGTATCATGAATTAAAGGAGTTCTTTTCAGGACTTCATTGTCCATCTCCATAGTTTAAACAGAAAGATATTTCAGCTTAATTAAAGCATCTTCTTAATTCTCTACCTCTTCTGAAGCTTCTTTTCTTTCCTGTCACTGGTAGTTTATAAAGTCTCTTTTCATGTTGATCTCTCTCTCTCTCTCTCTGGATAAAAAGATTAATCCGTAAGTCTCATCTGGGTAATGAAAGAGTTAAAATCTTGCCCAGGCTTTTGTGGATGATCTCTGTGATCTCGGTGATCTCTGCCGAACAGGAGCTGGAGCTGTTTGCGATTGAAGGTCTTTCATAGCTGCTCTGGAGAGTGTGGCTGTCTCTGCTTGCTGCTTCTTCATTCGGCAGTTTCTAGTGAATGTAGTTACAGCAAAACCTTCAGCTGAGCCAGAGATCGGCTCGGCCCGGCCCGGGCCCGAGGAAAACCTTCCCCAGGCCCCCCCATCTCCCGGCCGGGAGACGGGGCAGGCCCGGCCCAGTCCCCGCCCGGCCCCATGGCCTGGGCAGGGAACGGGAGGCCTGGAGCTCTGCCACCCTTCACAGCCAGGAAACAAAGAGAGCCCAGAGAACTCTGGTTTTACACTTTAAGGTAGGGTTCACAAGTTGATCCCACTTTTTAATGGCCTAAACTGCTGTCAATTCTCAGCAATGACCGATAATTGGTCAGGAGAAAAGACTCTAGGCAGTTCCCAGCAACTCCAACTCCCTTAAAGGTAAAGTAACTCCATGACAGCTCCCAAAGTCCTTTCAGACCACAGGGCTTTGGATTACATCCCCAAACCACCTGCTGTTGCCTCCCTCCCGACCAATCCTTATTCTGGGGCTCTGGGCATTGCCTGCAGAGGAGAGACCCCCACCAACAGTGCAGAAGGAGGTCCAAGCCTCTGGCCATCCCAGCACCCATCTGGGACACAATAGGAAGCTGGATAGATTTTCCACCTCTGACAGCAATGCTAATTAGTTTCTCAGATGCCCCTTGTTCTTTGCACCTGAACTAGCCACCTTTCATGTCTTGCTTCTGTCCTGAAGGCAGGGCAAAACAGAAGAGATGGCACCAGCTCTCTGAGCAAAGGGCAGGTGGCCCATCTCCAAGGCAGGTTCAGCACATGTGATACAGTGTACAGGTACAGTGGATTTAGGGCAAAGGGACACTCTGGCTTCCTGTTTGTGAAGCAGTTGCATCTAGTACTGGTGGGTTCTCTGGCACAGCTTCCATTCCTTGGCAGGGATGGAAGCTATGGAAGTGGCTATAGGCAAGCTTGGGCTCTCCTGGGGGCTGGTGGTGATGGCAGAGCTGGCGGGCAGGACAGTGCTGCCCAGAGTGGGGTGGCAGCCATGCATACTGTGAAAAAAGACGTTCACTTTTTTTTATATAAAATTGAAAAGTTTAATAGACAATTAGGAGATAGGAATAAGGCAAAATGAACAAATACGGCTGGATGCCTCAGCATTCAGCCAAGAGAGCACACCTTACTAACAAAGGATTGTCCCTTAAAAACACAAATCTATTATATATTCATAAATTCTTATACATGATTCAAACAGTCCTCTTAAGTTTTAAATATTCCTTTGTTTAGCTGCAACTCCCCCCTCCCCAGAAGATCCATCTTCTTGGCTCCGTTGAGTCTCACACTCCCCGATAACAGAGGTTCAGTAAATTTCTCCCGTGGAGTCCTTGCCACTGCTGTCTTCATCTGGATAAGATAATCTAAGAATGCAGGAGGAATTTCTGACTATCTTTTCAGTCTCTGAGTTATATTAACAAAAACAGTCTTTATTTTCATACCACACTATTTCTAAGTTTTATCAATAACAGAAATAAACTATACTAGTACAGCAAAGTTTTCCTACAGTATGTGTAACATTTGTTTTAATATTTGTGAAAAGCCAATAATACCATATGCACTTATAACACATACCCATGTCCTTCCAACGGGCTGCTGCTGGTTTGAGGGCGATCCCCAGGCAGGCATATTTGTGCCTCAAGCTGATCAAGAACAGGGCCAGCTCATGACCCAGTCCCTGCTGTGTGCCTGGTACATGGTCAGGGAGTAGTCTCTGCAGTGTCCATGAGGAGGGTTGTCCTATGGGGATGCCAGGGCTCTCCTGGCCCAGCCAGAGCTGCATCTGGGAGAATGCCAGTGTTGGGGATGCCCAGCACTCCTCAGGCAGGGATGTGATAGTGTGTCAAGGATCTTCCTCATCAGAAACTCTATGTCAGAGCACCCAGCTCTGCTCCTGCTCAGCAGTACAGGGCCACAGTACTCGCACAGCTGGACCCTGGACATTCCTGGAGGTACCGGGGACTGATGCAGCTGCAGGTGGGGAAGGTGATGAGTTGGGGTGGGATGGGATATGGCACAGAGAGCCCTGGGTGTCCCAGGTCTGCAGTTCCTTTTCCCTGAGGGGCAGCATTTGCTGGTGAGTGCTGGAGGTGGCCAGGATTGTGCTCCAGAGGTGGCATCCCAGGTGTGAAGGAGGCTCTAGGAGACCTCAGACCTGGTAGAAGGGAGGCTGAGGATCGATCCTGACAGGAAATATGAGTTCAAATGTCTTTACAAACG